ACAGATAATCAATGCGGGGGGAGGACCTGTGGTCTCCTGAAAGCCATGCACAGCTTCACCAGCAGACCAGACATTGTGATGTAGTGGTTATTAGAGTGCTGGGAGTAGGATTGGGAACACTTAGATAATCACTCCCTTTCTCTCTCTCTCTCTCCCTCTCTCTCTGATTCATCACCTTCAGAGAATTCTTATGAGAATAAAACCAAGTGTGGGACGATGCATGTTGTCTGGAGCCCACTGAAGGGAAACATAAATACAGTACAATAAATAAATTAAATAGAATGCAATAAAATGCACATGTGGCTGAACTTGAAAGTGAACATAGTAAAATACAAGACAACAGACTGACTTGAGCTGCAGTGGAATTAAGCTCCTTTCCCCACTTTTATTCAGATAAACAATCTTTTGCTAAGGTAAGCAACCTGATGCCTGCATTGGTATATTGTAAGCCTCAGCCAGCATGGCCAGCTGCCAGGTATCATGGGAGAAGTAGTCTAAAGCACACTGAAGACAACAGGTTACCTACCTATCTACAGTATATGCTTTCTTATAAGCAGATAACCAACCAGGGCTCTTCCCAAGGTCAGAGCGGCAAGGTCCAGCAAAAAACTATGGCACCAAATTCTCAGAGCTAAAGTAAGACAGGAACCCTATTTAGATGTTCAATTTAAACCATACACCAGGGGTCCCCAACCCTCGGTCCGCAGCCTGGTGCCGGTCCATGGCCTTGGCAGGACTGGGCCACAAGGACTGATCTCCTGCCCCCCCACATGCGCTCTCCCCACACACACACACACACGCACACCTGGTACATCCACCTGCATGCACAGGTGCCTTGCCCACCCGCACATGCATGAGAGTGTGCCCCACCCACCCACACATGCATGAACATGCCCCGCCCACCCGCAAGCGTGGGTAGTACCCCACACACACAGACCCCACTCCCCAACCAGCCTGCAGTTTGGAAAAGGTGTGTAGTACCCCACATACACAGACCCCGCTCCCCCAACCAGCCTGCAGTTTGGAAAAGGTGGGGGACCACTGCCATGCACAAAAGGGGCAAGCTAGCCATGGTACTTCTGTTTAAGCTCTCACGTGCAGAGAACTAAATCTGAAGTGCAAAATAGTCTTTATGCATAGACTATTTGTACATCATTGGGAATCCTGCTGTTCTGGCTGTGTAAAAGGCCCTGCTATGCTGACATGCCCTGTGTTATTGACTCAGATGCTTGACTCTTCAAGAAACAAATAACAGCAGTCAGAAAAAGTCAAATACTTCAGATGATATTGCTGTTATAAAAAAACAACATCTTTTTCCTCTATTTCAACTACAAATTTATTTAACTTTTACTTTTCATATCCTCTTTAAAAATGCTAAATGTAGAATTCCAACAAATCATTAACACCAGCATTATTTCATACCTTATCATTCCATGGCTGCTCACACTCTGTGGCAAACAGATTCAGGGTTTTCTCACATAACAATCAGCTATGCAACATTTTGGAACTACGTAATGCTGAAATGCTTCCATTCAAATCAAGACATACTGCATTCAGTCAGTCACTGGCAGCTGAAAATATGTACATCATCTGGCTCATGGGCAGCTGGTGACCTCATAACATCCTTGTTTCAGCTTGGTGCGAGAGGCCGTAGATTTTAGACATTATGAAGAAGGGATTTTGTTCAAAGTTGCATAACAGATTAGCAAGCCAGCTGTGTTGGCAATTTAAGATTTCTTAATCTCTTTAAAACCAAGAATGGTAACTATCTGGACAGTTGTGAGGTATTTGTTTTCATAGGACCACCTGATATGTAAGATAGCCAAGATGCATTGTTCTAAAAATTTGAGTAAGATGGCATGAAGGTTGAGCTGGTACCCTCAGTGGGAAAAGCTGAAAAGTTATAGAAGATTAGTAGGCTTCAAAGCATCTAATTTTCCTCTAGAAAAACTGCTAGCTAAATCCAAGACCCCACAATAATACTCATTTACCCAGTAGAAGGGTCAGCATTATTTGCTCAGAAAAAAACAACATTGTTTATTCTAGCATGTAATGTCGAAACTTTTGCCAAAACTCCCAAGATGATATCTAAAATACACTCTGCAGTTTTATACATGCAAATGTACACAGAATTACACAATATTCCTGCACCCTACCCCTGAGCACAGACTTCTGCATATAATGAAAACATCTGAAAATACATTTAGATTTGCAAATAAAGTTTATTTGTTTGCCACTGTTAAATCTTTTTGGCATGTGGACACTGCTTAGCCCATGAAGCAGAAAGGCAGAACCTATGCCTTACATGTTAGGAATCACATGTGAAAAAGAAAATAGATCAACCATGCTCTGCCAACCTCTGTGCTCATCACAGCACAACAGCTGCATATAGCAGACCTGCATAGCACTGATTTCAGAAACACCCTAGACCTCTGGCCTCAGGTATGACTCAGGACTCTTATCCACCTATCAAACTAGGCAGAGGAAGAGGGGAAAATCCCACTGCAATTTAAGTTATGGCAAGAACTGTGTTGGCTGGGCTAACCAACAGAACTGTACTGAGACATATTGCCCAGGAACTCCATGAAGACGCCCAGCCAAATGAAGAGTTTGTCAGGCAGCATCCCTTTTTTTTCAAATGACACAAGTTTTTAGCAGCTTAAATGACCAGTGTGTGGAGGACCGAAAAGGAGGTACTTGGGTAAACAAAACCCAAACTCTGCTTTGTGATAAAAATACAGTAACACCAAATGAATTAACTAACAGTTTGCTGCCCTTTCATTATACCTCACACTGGCTACCTCGATAATAGTATGGCTGGCATTGGACAACCGTGTAAACTGAAAGTGCACCTAAACAGACATTCCCAACACAGGTGACATGTGCTCGCTCCCACATTGTTCTCAAAAAAGCCTGCACTTGGATGATGGACATCAGAGTGTAAATGTTAATCAAAGCGAAGTAGTATAAATGGACACTCAGACTTCAATACAGCTAACATTTTCATGAGCTAACCTATGTTTCTTCTTTAGAACAATTACAGCAGCATGCACGGATCCCATTGGGGTCTCCCACACCATAGATTCACAAATGTGCCCAAACCAAAACAGAGCCAGATAAGAATCAATGAAGGTTAAATGCACTTTATATGGGTGTGCATGTATGTATGTATGGTGTCCATGTGGTCCTATAACAAAAACTTTTCAAGGCGATATGCACAATAAAACAGACAAAAAAGATCACTAAAAAATTCGTAGTAAATAGCATTTAGGTAGAATCTAATAAATGGGGGTGTTTAATTAATGTTTGAGAAACAAAGGCCAAATACAGCGCCGCCTTAATTGGCAAGAAACTGGGTTTCAGTGTTTTACACAAGAGGATAGTCACAGCTGGTGCTTTCCATCTAGACCAGACACCAGTACAAACAAGCAGGTCTCTTTGCCAGGTGAGAGAGAGTGCTCCATGTAATCGGGCTACAGCCACTGCTTCTGGAACAGCTCCCTGCCTCTCTCCCAGCCATGACATCACACTTCTCACTCAACTGCCCACGAGGCCACAGAGATCCTGTTGTCCCTTGCAGAAGAAGAAATGGGCAGGGGTTCAAACGGGGGGGGGGACACCTCTCTGCCAGGAGATGCACAGCTGAAGGAAGGTCTCGCCGCCTACCCTCAGCTGCCCTAAATTCGCGGTTGCAAAGCCTCCAGCTTGCCCTGCCCCACCCCTTCTGGTACCACCGAGGCTTCAACGACGAGCCGGTGCCTGGCAAGCCCTCACAGGGTCGCGCCAGACACTCAGTCTGACGGTGGCTGCATTTAAACAGCTGAAGGGTCATTCTCTCTGCAGGGGGAAGAAGCTTCCCAAGAGAACAGAAGACGCTGCGTGAAACTGACCTGTGAAGGGTCCTACGCGCGCCTCTCTCTCTCTCTCTCTCTGTGTGTGTGTGTGTGTGTGTGTGTGTCTAGGGGGCCAGCCCCCACTCGGAAGGCGCTCCACGGCCCCCACAGTGGTTCCCCTCTCAACCTCGCCTTCTACTTCCCTGCACGGCTCGTGGGCCGAGCGAAGAGCGGCGCTGAGGGAACAGCGGCTCCGAGCGACCGCTCCTTCCCCCGTCGCCGCACGGGCTGTGGCGGTTCTCTTCTCGTCCGCGTTGGGTCCGGAGACTTCGTCGCCTTGGAGAGTTCGGCGGGTTTTTTTTCCATTTCACACCAAACAAAAACAACAACTTTGCGCCTTATTCGATACGCCGCCGCCACGGTGCAGCGCGCGGCCCAAACGCCCCGCCGTCTTCTACGGGCCCACCCCGGCCCCCTCCCCGCCCAAAGGGACTTGGCCTGTTTCACACGCCGGCAAAGCTCCGGGGGCCGCGGCCGCGCGCTTCTTCCGGTACATCGAAGCAACGCTCGAGCCGCGGGAACAAAATGCCCGGCGATCGTCGGCGGCAATCGCCGCCTCGATCAGGCTCCTTTCTCTCGGCGCCGCGCCGAGCGCCAACACCTCGCGATCCCCATTAGCGAATAAACATCGAGAGGGGAGGGGAGAGACCGAAGTTCCCCGAAGACGCGATTCCTAGAACGAGCCCGGGGAAGTTTC